ATCATAGGCGTTGTTTAGAATGTAGATCATCAACAGATATTTTTCAGAGAGTAGTATTTTATCACTAAGCACATAGTGATAAAAAGCAGACGACTTTTAGTCTGGCTTCACCATCATTTTAAAATCTCTAAAGACAATCCACTTCTCACTGTTCACTCCTGCGATGATAGAGTTTGGATGTGTTGTCCCCTGGAGTCTCCCATCTGGATATCTGATCCCCATGTATGGCAGTGTTGGAAGCTGTTTGAGTCATGGGGGCAGATCCCTCATGAATGGATTAATGATCTCCCTGGGGAGTGGGGGTCCTGAGTGAAATCTCACTCTATTAGTTCCCACTAGAGCTGGTTGTACAAAGATCCTGGCACCTACCCTTTCTCTCTCTTGCTTCCTCTTGCCATGTGATCTGCTTATACCCACTGGCTGCCTGCCACTTTCCGCCATGAGTAGAAGCAGCCTGAGGCCTGTGCCAGATGCAGCTGTCCCAGAATCATAAGCCAAATAAACCTCTTTTCCTTATAAATTACCCAGTCTCAGGTATTTCTGTTATACCAACACAAACGGACTAATACATGGGGCAAACCCCACTCATTGCCTAGCCTTTGGCATGCCGGTGAATATAGGTCATAGAATCCCCTTTCTTCTACTCTAACATAATCCCAGAGAGGGAAAAATATGACCAATTTTACTACAAGATTATTTTATTTGTAACTTTGTTGTACATTTCTCCACCCAGTTGGGATGGGAAGAGTGTGTAGCCTAAACCTTATAACCTCTAAAGTCTGGGTCAACATTGAGGCTGGCTTGGGAAGTCCACAGGCATGCTCAAGGCTTCCCTCTGAGACATGGACACTTGTTCTCAGAGAATCCTTACAGAAGGTGAAGTTCTCTTGGTTTGATAAAAATTATCTGGTACTACTTATTTCTCCTTACTCCTCTGTCAATTAAGTGGAATTCAAAATATTCAACTGTGCCTACTTTTCCATGGACTTAGAGGGTTTTTAAAATAAATTCAAAGTCACAAGATTTTCTGGAAGTAGAACATGTGCCTCAGGATAGTCCATTGGGCACACAAGGTAGCTTTAAACACTCAGTGGTTTGAGCCAGGGGCAAG